TGAATTTGCCGGGTGGGCTTTTTGACAGATCACAATTGAAAAATCAACCAGGCGAAGCTAGCCAAAATCCCGCAGGGTATGAACGACCCGGTTTGTGGGAGGAATCCGAGACCGAGACGCCTCCTCTGGTTCGACGGTTTGTCCTGTCTTGGAAGCCTCAAGATCGTCGGCAGCTCATGATAGGATGCCAAAGTTTCTGTCAAAAACCCACCTTGCCATGATACGCCCCCCCCCCTTGCCCGGTGTGCTTGCGACTACTACTATTCTGAGCGCTTTACTTGCCCGACCCATGAGGCACAACCCACGTGTGCCATTTGCGGATGTGAAACCATGATCACTACTTGATTCGGAGCGATAATGATCATCTTATGATGTGCCAGCAAGGCACAGAGCAGAATCGAGAGAGTCTAGACTCGAGTCTTGTTCATCCCACTTTATTGAGCTTGGTGATGACACCTCCCAAGACGTCTCCCCCGTCGTGTGGAGACAGACTGGCACTAATACCAGGCGAAGACCCCAGCAAGACGCAATTGACAGGCGCGAGCAAATCATACTGGTCCCGGCGAGCACCGGTTTGATTGCTGTTTCGTATCCATCATTTCGACGACCTTGATGGTTGTGACGATAACAATTCCAAATATCGAAGGCCTTCGCGACTTCGTTTCCATCTCCAGTTAGAAATCAAGGCCAATCAGTAATTAGGCCGATTGGGCACCACGGAGTGCTAGTTGCATGAATCTCGAGCATTACGACCCAAGTGGAGTAAGGAATGACATTCCAGTGTAAATGAACGCCGTGTCCCTGAATTAGGCGAGGGTCCGCGCAAAAAGCTTCTTTGTCATATCTCTCAACCAAAATTTCGTCTGTGAATGTTGAGAGCTCCCCTCCCCCCTTCAATCGATCGGGGTCCGTCGTTGACCGCAACTGTGCTTGTTCTTGAGAGTCTGGCTCGTGGCATCGCCCACGTGAATGAGCGCCCGCCTCCGTCCAGCAAAAGCAGTTAGATAGCCGGCATGCTTCAAGGATCTGAGACCCAGTTGACCGCCCCAGTCATGGAAAAAAGAAAAGGCACGCCTTGCTTCTTCCTTGGTTCTGTTAATCTCTCACAGTCCCAGGGTTGAGCGCATCTGTCTGGTCAGATTTGCGACCACACGCGACCAAAACCATCCTTGTTCTGAGCTTCGACTCCAATCTCGATGGAGGGCTAGCGATAGGATCCGTCTTGGGTGGCATTGCTCGGTCCTTGGATTGTTCCGGATCTGATAAGCTGTCTTTCTCACAGCGTCGTTGATTTTGTCATGCTCAGCTCATCTCCCCCAGATTGATCAAGCTTTGAGGGAGGATGCCCCAGTCCCACAAGGCGAGAAGTGACACTTTCATGCAGGACGGCCCAGAGTATTTAAGAAAAATAAGAAACCAATGCCGGGTTAATTAATAGTGACAGCTATTTTCTCCGCGATGACCTGACACATGGGGCCGTGAATGACGAGTGACATGCGTTGGTTCGGCGCAAGCTCGAAGCGTGATGGGCGACCCGTTTAGCTTTTAAGCATTTCGCGATTTAGACTCCCGGGTACGGGAAAAGTGGATATTCTGGATGTCAGTCTGTCTCGCCGGCACGGTTCGGGTCCCGTCCCGCTTCATAGTATATAAAGAAACTCGAATATCATCTTCTACCTGTCTTATCTCGTTATCTGGGCTTGAATCGAGGGTGTATCGCGGGCGGTTCGCGGTACGTCTAAGTTGTCCTAGCTCAGGCTTATTCTTGATGGTGGATGGAGTTGTCATGGGATGCATATAGCCTTCAGTTTATATATTGCTTTTTACACCCGGTCGTCCACTGCCAAGAATCTGCCAGCTCAGCCCTCCGTGGATCCATTGCTTTTGCTTTCGGTTGGCCTCGGGAATTAATGCCCCGTTTGTCTGCCGTCGGACGGCTGCATGAACCCCGGGATGCCTCACACGACATCGCCGCTACCCGCTATATCCGTAAGACCGCCGATACTGTAGATACTACACTGTCAAACATCGAAAGCCTTTCCATTGTGTAATCTCATGCCTTTGTGAGCAAGGCCCAGTATAGTAGAACATCAGTCCGACATCCGTTTCTTTCGAAGTGAGGCGGCGAGCGGCGTCGAACCCAACGTCTCACTCCATCTTGATATTGCTCTACCCTCGTTATATCCGGCCAGCTCCCATTAGTCCTATCATCACTACTCTGAAACTGACATAGACTATACCTGACTAAGCCTCGCTCTTAATGGGTTTTGATTCCACCGAATAACTACGTGTTTCGCGTGATATTAATAACATGTATGTGCTTGCATCCACTCACCCGCGCAGCCGAGAGTATGGGGTTGAACACTGAGGGTGGCTATAGTAGAACAAGGCATCCCTCCCGCTCCATTAACCCCACGATCTGCCAGATCTGCTGGATCTTACATGCGGACTTCCCCTGGCCTGGGATGATTAGTGTTGTCGGTTTTGAGTAATGGGATGGACCGGCTGTTTACCAGCGGGGAACGGTTTGCCACCATAACACACGGCCGGGCAGAGGGGGAAAGTGCCAATAATTCTGACAATCGGTTTTGGGAGGCCTTCATCTTTTAGTCAATCAATACCATCGATTGAAAGAGAGCAAAAATAAAACCGGAAAATAAAGAAAGAATGATCTCCTTTCACCTTTGCATATGTACATGTACATATGTAAACCAACGATACGGAGAATGGCTCGTATGGGCAAGATCCGAGGTATAGGGTAGGTAGCCGCCCGGATGTCAATATTAGGTCCCGTTCGGGCCTTCGGCCTTCGCTCAAGCTGTTAGATCGACATACTTTCGTTCGTAGAACATTTATCCAAGCTGCCACCACTCCCATCTACTATATGATAACTTTTTGTATTATATTATCAGTGGATCTAGCGACTAGCAACGCCGATAGCTTCAGGATTAGGTACTGTTCATCAAGATCAATATTTATCGAGATGCCGTAATCATCTGTGTACATAGCTTATGTACATGTAGGTAGGTACATGTAGATATTGATGGTTTACACAGCCCGCCTTGGCTCCAACCTTGCAATCAAGCTAAAAAACAGACGGATGGTATCTAGCCAATCATGTGTCCCAGCGCTTCTCTCACTATTACCAAGAATAGGAAACCTTTGGTCCCGCCGCCAAGAGCTGGCCCAGCCAATGCCCCCGTATATGCACCTTTCGTCGCCTCCTCGTCACTCCTGAGCAATCGACAACCTTGTTTGATCGATCGGATAACGACTCACAATTCCCGAGCGAAAACCTAAAAACTAAGAAATTCCCTATGGTCAGCCACGCGAACGTGAGTGCGGCTATGTGGAAGTAAAACTGCGAGGCAGAAAAAAAAGAGCCCGACCACCCTTCACCATTACATCAATCTCATATGGGTGACACTTCCATCTTTATCACTGTAATCACACCAGAAGCGGTGTGAAAGCTCAAAAGATTAGGGGCCAAATCGCTGGAATAGTGCAGGATCATGAAGATGGTCCCAGCCTTTTTCGTAACGTCAAGGATGAGAGAGACAACAGTCGTAAGGACCCCCGGTTTGTCGAAGATCTAACGATACCAAAGACCTATGTCAGTTTCTGAGACGCCTGTGATGACTTTCCACATAGCCAGTCACCATTTATGAGGAATTGAAGGAGGATCAGGCCTCATCAAGGGGAAAGAGCTTGTACGGGTGGTGAGTTTTGCTGCGAGCGAGCGAGGGATGGAGACCCCGTTGTCCAAGTTGTTGCGGAGGTCGAGTTGTTTATGGGCAGGCTCTCTGTACATTAGCCGGGAGGAGAGGATGAGGCAAGTACGCCGATGAAGAATGTCAAATCTAAGCAAACACAATAGCTTTGTGGAAGACGGGGTGATGAAGAGGACCAAGGCCATTATAAACACATCACAAATGTTTATCTACGAGGAAGTTTCTGCCTTCATGTTCTCAGGGAGGGTGCCATGGTAGTCATGCATCTCTGGAAGGACGCACTCGCTATATCTGAGCATGACGAGACAGAAAGTAGGCATGAAGGTCAGTGTTCTAGAGATCTCCTGCTATTTGTGTCTGGAGACTGGCTTGGAGTACTGACAGAGAAGGAATTTTGGGCAGTTATATTTCCACGTCCAACACCTTCTACACGATCCGCACCTCGACTGGATACATGTGGGAAGCCGTGACAGACTAGAAAACTGGTATAAAACGGCATATACCGACTCGGCTGTGTCCCTCCTCCCTACGAACATCAAAAGTGAACAGGCAAAAGAGGCTTATTCGAAGCTGCAAGCACGACGCCAGGCCACCCATTTAAGTGACCAGACCACGAAACCAAACCCCTACATGATGTTTCGTTCTGAGCCTTGGAGCTTGGCCGTGTTGATGGCTCCCAATGTTGCATTATTTCTTCAAAACTGCACCTAAGATGTAGACTTACCCTATACCCCTAGTACTTCTCGCCAACCACCATGTCTAGGTATCTACTAATTGAAGCAAATGAGATTACCAACAGTGATCCTTTACAAAATGGTTTTCTTTTCGGCGATGAATATAAATCAAGTATTCAATTGAATTCGACTGCCCAGCGGAAATACCCATCTTTGGCGGCTGACTAATTTAGCTCTGTCTTCCATCTCCCACCTGCGGTACTTCTTCTTGATTCCGGAGACTCCTCGGCATTGGCGCATCCTCGATTTCCCGACTCCCTTCGCATTTGATTGCTTACGACTGACAGCTATTATGGATATATGATATGGTATCATCTTTCACACTAGAGCCGTGTACAAACCATTAGCGACACTGCGTACGATGCGCGAGACCTTGAGGCTGCAACGGCAGCTTCCGAGACTTCGGGTCACGGGAAGATATCGCACTTCATGTGCTCGCCAGCCGCATTTGCAACTCGAAAACGCGCCGATATATAGCCTCGCCAATCGATCAATACCCCATAGCCGTGTCTCCCGTTCACAACCCTCACCAGCCTTCTCGGCTCTACCATGCTCGGCCATTTCCCGGCATCGAACTTTTGCGACGGTCTCAAATGTACAGGGCGATGGACTGGGACCATTACAAGAATATGATCGCCGTGTTGAAACGGGCGCATTGAGGAATGATGAGCACCAGAGAGGTAAACCATCACTCGACGGGACGATTAGCTGTATGTTGAGCTGACACCAGGCCCAGGTATCATCGAGAACCTCCAGCATCTCCACGACGAATTACGAAACTACCATGCGACGCCCGTGCAGCGCCCAAGCCTAGAGCTACTTAAACCAGCCAAGAAGTCGGTATTCTCTTCCTTGTTTGGTCAACAAAAATCAAAAGAGAGTGCCATTGGTGAAATTCCCACCGACTTGCCGAGGGGACTATACCTATATGGCGACGTGGGCAGCGGCAAGACCATGCTGATGGATCTGTTTTATGACACCCTCCCGCCCTCGGTTAAGACCAAGACTCGGATACACTTCCATAATTTTATGCAAGATGTGCATAAAAGGTTACACAAATTGAAGATGGAGCATGGGACTGATGTCGATGCTGTACCGTTCGTCGCTGCGGACATTGCCCAGCAAGGAAATGTTCTGTGCTTTGACGAATTCCAATGCACAGACGTCGCAGACGCGATGATCTTGAGAAGGTGAGGAAAGAGAAAAACATGGACGCCCCTTTACGTCCAGCATCACTAACAGGCTTCGTAGACTAATGGAGTGTCTCATGTCCCATGGCGTGGTGTTGGTGACAACCTCTAACCGTCACCCAGATGAACTGTACAAGAACGGTATCCACAGAGAATCATTTATCCCTGCTATCACTCTCCTCAAGACTCGTCTCCATGTCATCAACCTCGACTCTCCAACAGACTATCGCAAAATTCCTCGGCCACCATCTGATGTGTACCACACACCCCTTGACGCACATGCAAACTCCCACGCAGAGAAGTGGTTTCGCTTCCTTGGTGATGCAGAGAACCCGGAGCCGCATTCCGAGACGCAATCAGTCTGGGGACGCGATATCCTTGTCCCCCGTGTGAGCGGGCGGTGCGCTTGGTTCACATTTGACGAGCTGATCAGGCAGCCCAAGTCAGCCGCCGACTACTTGGAGTTGGTACGGCATTACGATGCTTTCGTCGTCACTGATGTACCAGGAATGAACATCCAGCAACGTGATTTAGCCCGCAGATTCATTACCTTCATCGACGCAGTATACGAGGGACACTCCAAGCTTGTCCTCACCACCGAGAAGCCACTCGCGGAACTCTTTGTTACCAAGGATGAGATTGCCGAAAGCCTCTTGAAGCAAAACCCAAAGAGTGGCTCTAACGCTATTGAGGAGTCAACCGAGAATCTCATGGGTGACATCCAGAACAGCGTCGAGAAGCTAAAGGATTCAGATCTCTTCGCGGGTGCAGAGGAAGCGTTTGCCTTCGCTCGAGCACTCAGTCGCCTGACCCACATGCAGAGCAAGGAATGGGTCGAGCGCGGACTGGGTCTGGAGTCAAAGGGCGGAAAGCCGGAGAAAGACAGCTGGACCAAGACCAGGAGCCGCCAGTACGAAGATTCCATGTGATGCGATCACGAAGTCTGGCAGTTCGACGATGTGGCATACACCTAGAGAGCGTTTACGACCCCTTTTCTGACGAAAGCATATTAGATCAGCCTTGATATCGATTGAATGAGAGACGGTATTTGTACAATTTAACATGAAGATATAGGTGCTATATAATCATATGACTACGAAACTACAAAAATTCACATGATTTTCAAGAAACGAACTGCTGTGAAGCCGTCAAGTCTCAGATCATCACCCATTGACATGACCTACCCTACAGAAGCCCTGGGAATAGGACGTGAGGGACATTCTTCTTGAAATTCTGCCACTGTTCTCCATATCTGCCGGAGCAATATGTATCCAGTTCGGGAATCGAGTTTTGGATGAAGTTCCAAACGAAGAAAGAGCCGCTGAGCAATCCCGCAGCCAGCCCAGAAGCTGCGACAAAGTAGCCTGCCCTCCAGATGGCGTATCCGCCATAATTGATATGTCTCGCATACTGCCAGAGGCCACGGGTCATGACCTTGCCTTTGTTCTTCGGATCATCCTTGAAACTCTTGCGTTGGATTTCAGACACAAGTTCAATTCCAATCCCAAGCAGGTACAAGATGGGACCGGCAACGTAGGGATAGGGGAGCGATGTCCCAGGGAAGTTCGGCGCAGTCGCTGAACTGGTTGCGCTGGCGAGGAGGAGACCGGTACACAAGGTGTTGACAACACTGTTGAATAAACTGACAGGGATGGCATTGGATACCGGGAATTCCTCCTTGGACACGAAAACAAGCCAGTAGATCTGCTTAGCCGTGGAACCTGCGGCCATCCCGAGGAGGAGGAGATGGGGAAGCGGTAGGTTCAACCGGTCAACGAGAGCCAACCCGGTTGAGGTAGATAGACCTAGATTTCCTACCTGGCCGGTAGACACAGAGCTGAGGCCTGCGCGATCGAGGATGGCCGTACCTGCGCCGGAAAGGAGCTGATACTGCAGCAGAACATCCAGTGATCGGAGGCCCACGAAGGTGAGGGTACCTGCCGGGCTGGGCTTCTTGGTCCCACGGTGGATGAATTCATTCTTCCTCTCTTGTGAAGCCATTCTGGGCGGTAGAACTGTCAAATTTCAACTGGTAAAAGAGATGAGGAGAGGGAAGATACTGGATGAGGGGAACGAACTAAGGCATCGACATGTCGTGTTAGACTCGGGCAAGACTAAACTCTAAGATATTGGAAACGTTAAACATAGTGATGTCACAATATCGCAATTCTCCTCACCGTAAAGATGTTTCGCTACCATTGGAGCCAAGCACACATATTCCTTGGTAGTTGGAAACGGCGCATGCCATTGGACGTAAACCGGGGAGGATCACTAAGGTGGCACTTGGTCATCGCGAATCTATCTCAAGCTTCATGAGTAATCACATCAGCCAGTTGATGGGGATATAAATATACATTTCAACATATATTCACGGATGTCCTTCTTTTATTCAAAGCAACAGCCAAGGAATCCTAGATGTGTTGTGTGCTCACCTCCCGTTTACAGCTCGACCTACCCGATACCAACCGGTATCATCCTTGAGGGTTACAGTGACCTATTGATATATTGGGATCGCCGCCATGTCTCCCGTGGACGGCTGCATGCATAGGGTGTGTAGCATCGACGGTAATGGGGACCAATGGCTGCTCCATCGGCACTCTGAGATCGTTACACTGAGGCACAAATCCTGAACTGAGATCCCACGGTGCCAACACAACCCAAGCAGATGGACGGGCTGGATGCTCCTCGAGCGCGAAGGGCACCTAGCAACGTGGATAAGTGGCAGGTGAGACCAACATTGCCCGTGCCCCCTCGTGAAGTCTTACTTTATCCCCCTCGCTTTCTGGAAAAGAGATAATTGATTTCTTGTGGGTGAACTATACGCTGCTGGCCTGGGTGGAGTGATTCGGGTGGATGCCTTCAGAAACATGATTCTGATCTGAGAGTTCCCAATCAAAATGGAAATTAAATTTACATGCTGACTACATGGTGACATGAACCAGGTGGTGTGGGCTTGGCGCATTCAACCGTAAGTGGTTCACGATTCGAAATGTAACCCTACGGACATGGTTCTCGGTCTGTTCTGGGTGAGCACCGAGGTTCTGGTGATGAGGGTGGGATGGGTTGGGCAAGAGACTAATATTAGAAGCAGTATTAATATTGTTCATGTCCGAGAAGAGCAGTTCCCCGCCCTGAGTAAGAGTAAGAGAGGATCCCCTGTCTGCCCATTTCATCCTTCATTGGCCCGTTGTGAATGAGGACATGCCGAGCTTCGCCCAAAGCAGAACCAATTTTGCCATGATTGGAGAGGTGCCCAGCCAACACTTGCCAAGGGTTATTTTTCTTGCCCAAAAAATCAATAGTAATACTGACTAGGTGCCAATGTAATATGCGTGTGCGTTTGTGTTGGGTGTGAGCTGTTGGCAGGCAGCGCCTCGAATCGATCAGGGATATCCGATGTTGGGAGTGCCTCAGATTACGTGCAATTGTGCGACAACTTCATCTCGAAGACGCGGCCTAGTGCATATCATTAAGACGTCGCTTGTTTTGGAAGTGTTGAAACCATCCTTGGGTTTGTGTGCTTCCGTGTTGGTCGCCAGCCAGTCAGAGCCCTAGCAAGAGCATCATCGGGCTGAATGAGGGCGACCAGGGTCTCAAAAAGTCTCGGAGGTGGGCGTGTTCCACAATGGGATGGAGCTGCCTGCCCCGTGTGTTCTGTGTCGTAGTCCCCTTGGTCCCCTGCTGCTAGAATCACTGAATTCTAATGGAAGCTTGCCGGCGCAAGTTGAGGCTTGCGGGTGATGAGAGACCAGCGTTTCAGAGGCCTACTAGCTTCCACTTTAGCCCCAGCCATATTGTTGACAGATCGGACCATCACCCCTAGTGGCTATTGCGAGTCGTCCGGTAGTTGTCTTTTCATCATTGCGCGATGGAGAATGCGGCGTTCTCGATGTTGATCGCGGTCAGACTCTCAGAAAGCCAAGGGGGATCGCTCTATTGGGGCTTCCTCCACGAGGCAATTAATTGCAGATGAGGTCATGCATGCTGGGGGGCAAACAAACCAGACACCCAACCAATGTTGGCTTTCATCCTGCAGAGGCTGGTGCGCTGCAGGCATTGCTTTTTTTAAACTCACTGGCTCCTCTCGTAGGCCAAGCTGCTTTCAGACGGTGCTCGCAATTATAGAGCGTAGTGCGATAGCGCGCCGGTGAGCTTACGCTCATCCACACGCTTCCCTCTGGCCGTCTTGCGGAGTCGCACGGAAGGATTGGCCTGAGTTGGTAGGCCTCGACTGGGCTGAGTTGACTTGCGATCTAGTTGCATGTCTCACGCCTATAGTGCCATGCGGCTGGCCAGCTTGCGGTGCACGCATGCCATGGATCGAATTTTCCAGTCGGCCACCAACCGCGGTGATTGCTGGTTGTTGGCCGGCAAAAGGACGCAGGGCATCCATCTACTGCGTCCCGTTCTGGCACTGCTCCGCCTAGCGTGTAGCAGAATATGCTGACAGCTCGCCGATCGTGCACAAAGGAGAATGGGCGATGAAGATCAACATATGGCGCTTTTACGGATCACCTGGTATTGATGATCAGAAGAATCGCACCCTTTCTGGCTCCCCTCGCACGAGGCGCTAGAGACTAGGCCCTGGGCATTTACAAGCTTAGTAGGCACGAGGGAGCCAGACAGTAAAAGAGCAGATGGATACAGCACACTAAGGCTGACGGTCATCTCATGGGTATCCCGGCCCAAGCTGCCTGCCCAGACACCATGAGCTGGGTCTCACCTACCGTAACTGCTAATTTCGGTTGTGGCCCTAGGGGACGGGGGCCAATGGCAGCGCTCCTGTCCCTGGCACATGGCTCCACCGCGCCGCCAGTAATTGGCAAATTCATCGGTTTAATGTCATTCGTGTTGAACAAGTGTTCACCCCAAGTCCCTTCTTGTGTGCCCTCTTGATGATCACTATCTTGCCAGTTGTGCACATCCACCTGCTCGCACAACTGCCTCCCTGCACAGCCTGATTGGGCCATCGCACACCGCGACCCCGGCCTATGCATCCTACAGAGCTGGGGGGGTTGCCTTGCCACTGCTGTAGCTGGTCTTTATGCAAGTGGATTTCAAGGCTGGCCCGCCATCCATGCCTGCTCACTTACGTACTCAGCTAGTCGGTAGGTATCTTTTGCTGCCCTGTTGGTCCCTCTTGGGTTGTCCCCTCTCTGGTCTGTGTCTGTTGGGTCCAGCTCTCTTAGAGGAACCGTTGCAGGCCCCGGTTTTCCTTCGCCCTTTGTTCTGTCCCCTCTGCCTTGACCGGGTTGTATCTCACCACCTCGTTGCCTCTAATCTACCCGCTCCAGCCCTCCTCTCCTTCACCTCTCGCTTGCCTCTTGCACCACTTGAGTTGACCGAGACGGCACCAGGCGCCTGGCTTTTGCGTCATTGATCGAAATCTTCCTGCTGTTTGCGCATCGCGGCACCGGACTGTCCATTCTCTTCTTCCAGGCGCGCGCCTTTCTCGACTGCAACGATATATCAAAATTAAATCGCCAACTTGCACAGCCTAGTACAGCTTCTCATTCATCGAGTCGCTCTCGAACGGACCAACTTCGACTGGTGGCTTGCTCAACCAACAATCTCGACGACTTTCCTTTCCTTATAAACGTTATAACCCCGACATTCAATTCTGTTCTCCACATATCCCCGTCCCAACGGCTTCGGGTACATTCCTGTCGGCTCAACGCCTTGTTTCGCATTTCTCTGATAAACGCAACGGTTGAACATACAATTGGAGGCGTGGAATTTCCTTGCAACTGTACATATCGCACCATCAGGTGGCAACCACCAGCAAAATGGGGGACAGTATACCAGCCCCGCCCCGTAAGTCGTGACCACCTCATCTTTCCGTCGGTTGATTTTGTATAGTGTTGGCTTGCCCAATACTGACTCTCCCTCACCAGGAGCCCTCGATGCGAGACAACTCGATACCGCAACTGCCCCGGGATTAAACCCTATCCTCGCACCAACTACCACAGCTGCTATCGATGACAACTCATTGGCGGTTGAAACGGGTACATTCACTCGCCCGACAACGACTTCTGTTGCCTCATCAAGCACCACAAGTTCAACGACTTCTGCATCAGCAACCTCAACATCGGACTCATCTTCATCTGGTAGCGACAGTGGAAGTGGTGGGGCTAGCGCGGGAGTGAAGGCTGGAATTGCATTTGGTGTTCTTGGTGGCGTGCTTTTAATCGCTGCTCTGATTTACTTCCTCATTACGCGACGGAAGAATGAAAAGAAAAAGCAGGAAAAGAGCCGAAGCGCTGAGAAGGGCGAGGAGAAGCACATCCCTCCTGCGCTTCCCAAGAAAGATACAGTTGCGGGTGACGCACCACAACTCAGCCTTCGACCAATCACCGAGTTCTTCCCTGAGACTTCACAAACCGACATCAAGACCAAAGATATGGCGCTGGCTCCTGCTGCTGCTGCGAATGCCAGCAACAAGCCTTTGCCGAGTGGCGGTAATAAGCCTCTCCCTACCGGTCGTTCTTCACCCCTGCCTAACCCATTTGATCGCCCAGGAACGAGCAATAGCGCCATCTCTGCCAACCCATTCGGCTACGGTGCTGAGCGACCTGTGTCTCCTATGACTGACAGTGGAAGCGCTATCTCCCCCAATCCGTTTGCCAACGAAGCTACTGATCGCCCCGTTTCACCCATCACCGAAGCAGACAAGAAGAGCGTCTACTCTAGAGCCCAGAGCCCTGACAGAGCTATTGGCTCAACCAGAAATACTGTTGGATATAGCACCACTCACGGAACCCGCGTTACCTCTACGCATGTGGATATCGAGAATATTGACCTTACCCTCCCACCACCCTCTCGAGCCGGCGCCTCCAGCCCTACTGGAACTGAGTTTAGCATGTCCGAGTTGGCTCCTGATGCGACCCCCCCTCTCACAAATGGTGCGGCTGCTATCGCGGCTGCTGGTGGACCGCCTAATACATCAGTCCACCGCGTCCAGCTCGATTTCAAGCCCACTCTTGAGGATGAATTGGAGCTTCGGGCTGGTGAGCTTGTTCGGTTACTTCATGAATATGATGATGGATGGGTGAGTAAAACTTTGTTTTTTTTTTATAGCGGAGGACGAGGTTTAAGCTAACAATATTCTCTTAGGCCCTCTGTATTAAGCTGGATAGGAGCCGGCAAGGAGTGTGCCCTAGGACCTGTCTTTCGACCCGTCCTGTGAAACCTCGCAACGCCCAGGGTGGCCAAAGCCCCAACTTCCCCTTCCCCAGCCCCGCTCGAGATCAGTCACCAAGGCGACCTATGACTCCAAAGGGCGGCGCTGATGCCAGGCCCGCGTCCCCAAACGTTTGGCCATCTGTGCAGAACAGCGGACCAGGTCCCAGCCGTATGAACCCGGCGAATGAGGGCCGAGGATCTTTGCCCGGGACCGCTCTTTAAGGAAGTCGACGTCTACAAGCTTATTGATTAATCGTAATGGGCATTCAATACGACGGGTGCCACCCTTCTGGTATACAACGGACAGGCGTTCGAGGATTTTCGCCTATTTTTCTTTGATTGGAGAACATGGTTTGCGGAACCGACATTTTTTTGTGTTGTTTTGGGTGTTTTATGAGATATCATTCGTTTATGAAAGCCAGCATCTTGCAACTTGCGGCTTGTTTTTCTTCACATCGTTCGCTCACATACATATTTATACCTGTACTTCGTGTATCTTACATTCTTGTCCATATATTGGTTTTTTTTTATTCACTGCCGAGCAATCTGGCAACGACGATTCCCTGGAAAAAATAGGAATGTTCTCGAGTAGGAGTTTGTACTTGCTCTCAACGAGGGGGAGAAGTATGACCAACAAGCAAGCTAGCCGCTGATTCAATTTACTCTTATCTCTGCAAAGTCTTCAATTTCTTGACTACTGTCGTGACTGTTCCATTGATTTGAATAAATGCAGGGTTGGAAAAAAGGGAAGAAAATATCGACATTGTAACCTAAAAAGTAGTCTTGCCCTTAAGAGGCCGAGACACCTTTGGCAATATTCATGTTTTTGTTCTTCGTAGAAACGCCCTTCGGGATACCTTTGGGGTCATTTTTGCGTTCTGCTACGAACTTGGACTTGGACTTGGCGTCCTGATTATCCCGATTAATTTGACAGGAACCCGCCGCGTCTCTTGCACAAACGCCACCGCCAACATTAGGACCTGGTCCTTAGTCTGGTGGATTGCCCTTTGTGCCCCTCTTCACCTTTGTGGCCATTTGGATTCTCAATAGCATTCCGTTTTCTTTGTGCCTTTACCTGTTTGGCATTGAATCAAACTCTGTGGACCCTGTGCCTGATATTACCACAGCGTTTTGAATCACTGACACGGCAATATGCAGTTCCCCCTTTCGTTTTTCGTCGTATCCCATCCGGAACTCTCGGGGCTGATCCAATGATTGTGTTGATAAAATGCAGCTAGAATTTGGATGGAAATCGGTAGTGGGATGTCTACTGACTTTCATAGTATCTATTCTAGAGCGCTAGAAAGAGCACTGGGGTTTTCGCCTTTGGCATCTTGAGATCACGTTGATCCCTTTTTGTCTGCGTGTTTAGGATGCACTCTTGATTTCCCACTCTTTCTCTTCGTATTTGCAAAGACGACTTGTACGTTTCTGAAAGTATCTCGAAAAATTTCCGACCATATTTTTCAACGCCCACATCGGGGATACCGACATGTAATTGCTCTGCGTTTCGCCCCAGTGCCGACCTATTTGCAGGTTTTTGAGACTCCCCTATCTAGAGCTAGGACGGGCGGGCTGTTTGGAAACTTCTACTTTGAGTCCGAGTTTTTTTTCTTTTTGGTTGTTGGGCTGGTTGGAAGTTCCCTTCGTAAATATAGACTGTTGGTTTTTGGCTTGGACAACAGCAGTAGCATGTGAAGTTGTATCTTGATGGATTGGATCAGAGAGGCTTGTACATCTGCTGGTTCGGAGCCTGCCGGTCTAGTAACGCCGGCATTGCGTTATCTTTCGTTCTTCTCCCTTCTCCTGTCTTCCCCAACAGCCAACTCATCGTAACGCAGACAATGATAGACAAGAGGTTATGGAGAAGCATGGCTTGTTAGTTGGTATAGTTCGAGAATTATCACTAGTTTTCTGAAATCTTTCTAAGATGGCATTTCAAAGCTTTTTTGGTTATTCAACGCTAAAAGATAATGCTTCCTGATCACAGTGAAAGTTCTGACGAGATCCCTTGGGCTTCTTGATGTTTCCTAACTGTATCTATGTTGCTCCTATCAATTATTTACGAAGGACCGCTGTAGATCGAGGGATCTACGAAAGGCTGAGAGGAACTTGGATACAGGTTCGCCTATATTGGAAGCTGGAGAGAGAACAAGGCTCGACTGTTTGTCACAGGATACACAGTGGGAGTGACTAAAGTATGAGTATGAACTCTGCTCTGTTGGAAGTCACCATGGAGCACCTGCATGTTGGGCTTTTGTCCAGACAACGATTTGAGATCACAGACTGTGGATTTCGGCTCCTGTAGGGAAAAAAAAGGAGAATGTCTGTGATTGACCAACTCGTTCAGAAACATAAGGCATTCACTGACATGATGATTTGCGAACACAGCCAACAGAACAAACCGTGTTTGTATCTCGTTACCAAAAGTATATAAGACTCGCAGCTCAAGGTTGGTCCCAGCCTTCCTGTCAAACTATCTCTGTAGCTATTGAAGCACAAGCTCTACCAACTCGCACCCAAATTCAACATCATACGCAGACTCACCACCATGGCTCACATCATCGCTGGAAGATCAGAGGAGCGGGATTCGCCTATTGTGATGGACGAACCGGTATGTGATTCTTAATAAGTTCTCGTGGGAGAATATAGGTTTCATGGGGAAATAGGGCTAATTGTGTTGAACATAGGCATGTCTGGAACGCAACGTGATCATGAGGATGATCAATGACCATAGCTTCACCATCGACCAGGCAATTCATGAGATTTGTGATCTCACTGCTGCAGCTTCAGCCGAGGATTTTCAAGCCAGCACTTCGAGTGAGACTGGAGTCGCCCACAGGTCTCTACACCGGCACAGTGGACGGGTTCAGTGGATTCTCCAGAATCTGGCAGTTGCAGTACCTCATGATCGACAATCGAGACTTATTGAATTTATCCTCCGCCTCGAGAAATCTACGGTACCTGACCCCAACCGTGGCGGGATTGTAGGGGATGGAAAGGATATCTTCTGGACGAGTGTGCCTTCGTTTTCACGAAACCTAGTCCGGCTTATGGGTAAGGGCTGTGAGTACTGTAATGGAATTGAACAAGATAGACTAACGTTCATCTAGTTGAGCTCAATGACAACGGCGAGTTTGACCCGGCCCAAGAGAATCTGGCAGCTTTTCTCGCCCAGCTATTTGAGGCAGGATACAGTGGCTGTGAAAGGGTCCTGGACTGGACCTACGCTTACACCGCAGCCGTTTTCCAAACCGGTTTCACACCAGACAAGCGGAATGTACGAATGTTCTGCATATGGTTGATCTATGCCAATAGGAAGCTGTGGTTGGATACTCAAGGGCCCAATCGGCTGTTCAGACAGGAATTCTGGGAAGGATGGAGGGCGCTCTTACTTGATTGTCAAAGCTCCAATCAAGATTGGTGCTCGGATGAGGATACGCAGATGCTTATGATGCGCGCTCTGGATTGTATGCACATTACCCAAGCTGAGAATTGAGGAGAATCTTAGGATTCTGGTATGGACTTCGGTCAAAGATGTAGAATTTTTTCAACTTCAGAAAAGAAGCAATCCTCAGGGAATCTTTTAGCTGCACTATATATGCCAGATTTGGTGACTGAGTGATGTAGGTACAGAGTTCGTTTTCGTGAAAAAGGCTGCCCGTTAAGAGCATGGTACCTGGGCCCAGGTACCACGACCCTGTTCACTTTTGCTTGGTGTTGAGGTACTTTATCCGGGCAGATTCAGATCCATCATCAAGAAGGTCCAGCGGGAAGGCGCAGATGGCACGTAGATGCTGCCCGGGAGGCCGGCTTGGAGCACTTAGGCAAGTGCCTTCCTGCCTTCGTTTCTTTCTGGTTCATCTCGCACATCATCTTTCTTTCGACTGGGTTGATTTTCTGAAAACAATAAAAAGGATCCAGTGTAATAGTACCAACATCCTACCTACCAAGTGGGTGACAGGAGAGATGAGACACCTAATGGAAGAATGGTTTTATACAGACTACTTTCTACGATAAATAGAGAATCTAGTAGTATAAAATGTAAACAAAAAAACAATATATACTGTATTGTCCCTGAAGTATGCATTATTAGCACTTAATAATCTGAATATACCGATTGCAGACTTGAAAATAAGCAGCTTAATGTTTGAGTGTCTCAATTTCAATGTCACCCACTTGCCTACCTACTACTTCCGCAATACATCTACTACTCCCCCTGATGGTCTTCCCTAACTTCCCGCCCAGCACTCCGCCTCTAATTTCCACGCAATACCAGACTGGAACGATAGGATCCCTGATGTTGAATGAAGCTTTACAACTATCCCATGCGTCTTTGACTAGGTATTGTAGAGAGCAAAGCGAAACTTTTCAGTCACACCCTCTGCACCCAACGCAATTCTAACTCATCCCGTGGTCAGGCCCTCCTCAGCTTTGAAATTCCATGAACAGACATGCCTGCAGTGATGTTCTTGCTTCTTGTCGCCATATTGATCTCGCGCCTCGCCATCGCGGTGGCTGTACCTCTTGAAAGCACATCCGACTCGCTCGCCAACGGTGCCTCTCCGGGAAAGGGAAATGAGAACACAACCTACTACCCAAGTCACAAGAGTGTGAATAGCCACTCCGCAACGGCCGATAGCTCGTTCGATACTTCGGGCCCCGCAGCCATTGGATCTGTCTTCAATCGCGTTTGCCGCCAAGTCTCACTCGGTGGGCTCGGTCAAATAGGTGCCACCACGTTGAGTGCCCAATGCGTTGACGGGGCAGGACAGTGGTGGGATACAAGTCTGAATTTGAACCATTGTATGGGAAATGAAGGAGGTAGGCTCATCTACAAAGAACAGTGAGCTTACCTGCCCTTGTCTGCGGATTTATCGATTTAAGCTGATTCTCTTCCACCAGGGGGAACTTTAACAAATCTTGCCGGCTTTGCGTGATGCAACTTCGAGATAGGGGCGATCTCATGTTTAGATGCAAATGCATTGGCACCAAAGGAATATGGAATCTTACTTCAATTCATTTCGGGATTCATTGTTAGTGGAACTGCAAATTGCAGCTTGCTCATCATCGAGCTTTCTCATCACCAAAGGAGTTACGCTAACACTGATGCTTTTAGCTGATGACCAACGTACTGTACGGCCCATTGAAGGACGGCTGGTTTGTGGTGATCGGCTGGGGAGCAAGACTCCGGGTCTATGATATATGCCCGTGGAATAAGAGTCAAAATGATTGGAATCAAGGCTGAAATTGCTAACATCATTTGAGGACAAGGTCAGGAATTGGTCGGAGATCGCCATGCTGAACTAATCGTTTCTAGTCCGGGTGGACAAGACATGATATGATAATGTGAGTAGTAAACGAAATGTCAAAAGAAATTGTTTGCGGTTGAAGGCCTGGGCGTGTATGAGGGAATGTCGTGCAAAACCTTTTCTTCGCGATGTGATAACCTGATGATTTAGCAAGATGGATAGAATCCCGGACTGACACAAGTTTGAACCCTGTGGCCATTTCGATTCTACATGTGTACATATTCTAGCTAACGAATTTGCCACCGCAGGCACCACACAAATCTCCGGATGGTGGAACTGAGAGAGGGTCTTGCTCGAGATGTTCCACTGCAAGCTTGGTCAATTCCGAGTCCCTCAAGCAGCGTCTTTGACACACTGCGCACACTCTCGATACGCCGGGAGCCATTATGGCAAGACCGGAAGACGTACAATTAGCTGGGTGTTGGAGGAGACGTGTTAGCACCCTTCTCTTGGTCTTGCAAAGCTGTATTTTGGGGGAGAAGGTTTAGTTCAAGGAGCGAGTACTCACCAAATGTATGATTGTTACTGCACCGCGCCTCACCGCCGTCGATTTGTAATTTTGAATCGCAAAAGACACATGTCTGGTTGTCCCTCAGGTCTTTGAAGAAGACATCCTGAGGGGAAGCGCGATAGAGCGAGGGATCGACGCTGCTGGATGTCGTGACGCCCGGGACCTGAGCGCCGCCACCGTACATCCACTCCCACAGCTTTCCTTCCGTGGTGAGCCCTCCCGGCGGCGCTTGTTCTTCGGCCTGCTCTTCGGGTTTCCTGGGGGGTTTGCTCCCGAACAGGAGCTTGCAGAAACCTCGCCTGTGAGGGTAGTAGTTGCTGTACTGCGATACGAGGGCGGCCGTTGAGCCGTCGCCTGGGGATGACACCAGCCCCCAGAACCTGTATCTGTAAGGGTGGAGATCTGGCTTGGATTCGAAGTCCTCGTATAGATCATCTACATTGTCGTCTTCATCTTCGTCGGAATCGTCCAGCAGGGTTTCAGGGGCGGCCTCCCTAGGTATCAGTCTGGTCGTCTGCTTGGTGATCCTTTCTACCCAAGGTGGGAGCTGGCCGAGACTGTCTGGTACATTTGTCTGACACCAATCCTGGTTGACCGAGGTGGCAGAGGACCTGACGAGTGTGTATAATGGAACTGGGGATGGGTTGGAGGCGTCTGGGTGATGGAGGACAAGGTCTATTATGAATGTCAATACTTGGGTCCTCGTTCGATGCGGGAGAGGAGCTCCTGACCAGATATGGGGTTTGATATGGACTTTTGGGGATATGTCGTGCCGCATTCGGCCGTTGGGTGCAGCTTCACAGGCGGGCTTGGAGAGCTACCGAGATTGACCTGGAAGGGCTTTACCTCAAAGGGGGTGCATACCACCCCTCGAGCAACCTTTTGGCCACTTTTGATAATGGTCTTCGGCAAAAGTTAATATCTATCAGGTCCTGATTATATGTGAGGGCATGATGCTTACCTTGCTCTCCCACTCAACAAATGCGTCTGTTGAAAGGAACACACACAAACTGGCTGTGTCTGATTCCTCCACCTTTACTTCTGGGTTGGTTCCAGGAGTCCACGAGCGGTTGACGGCCACCCGTCGAAACCCTACGTAATTATGTGATATGTATGACAGTGTGGAGACCTGGGAATCTCCTTCTTCAATCCAAGGACTCCAATTGAGTGAGAATGCCGTGCCGTGTGGAACATAATCCGGATCCATCAAGTCAACAGGCTAAAGGCAGAAGTTAGCAAGGTAGAGAAATTCGAGTCAAGCAAGACAGGAACGTACTTGGTGAGGCCCACGGGAATCAAACCTGGCCTCTTCACGGATCTGCCAAACCGGGTGCGTGTCGGACGAGGAAGACGATATTTCTCCCGAGTGGGTTCGCTGAACGCTCATAATGACCACATCATCCTCATCGGTGGTGTAAGCAAGGAGCGCCCTTCCCTGCGAGATCTCCTTGGCCCAAGAGAAGGACGTGATCCGCTCCTCCATTGTCCTGTACGACCCGTCCTGATCTTCTGCAGGCAATGGTAACTCGGCTCCAAGACCCCATAATATCTTGAACAGCTTGGTATTGCGGCTGCCCCGTCCAGATCCCGCCGCCGCCGCGCCGTCAATCTCCTCTCCTATCGTGAACACATGACCACTCGTCATCAAAGCCGTCAACACAGGGCGCAGGTTGCTGCCCAGACCGTTGGGGGACCACTCGACCCGCACGACCTGGTTCACCGACGCCCCCGAGCCCGTGACTTCCCGGCCGGGGATGTGGGAGACGCTCAGCTCCTTGTCCACCTCTGGGGGCGGGAGGCGAATGCCGTGGAGGGAGCACAGCCTGCTGTTGATGGGCGCGTCCGGGCGAAAGCTGCCCGCTGCCTGGAGGGCGATTGAGAACTGGTGCTGGGGCACGTCCGCCTGCTCCGCCGGCTCGCCGTCCTTTGCCGCCCTCGGGTACTCTGGGAGGAAAATGTAGATGATCTCATCCGTTGCGACGGCGAGCTCGCCATCGCATGACCAGGCGAGAGCACGGTTGGTGAGCGGGCGGCTCTTCAGATTCAGAGTTTTGAGAGGCCGAATCTGAGATGTTGTTTGTCAGAAGGTGGTTGGTGAGAGGACTGGAAAAAAAGACACTGGGGTATATATTGCCGTATGGGATTTGAGACCATCGCGCAAGTTAAATCTGGCAATTGCGGCATGGTGAGTGATGGCTCACATGGTTGTTCTTACCTGAGACTGGTCCATGTCGCTGTAATTTGTTGGAAGGAAACTCTCTCGGTTACATTTGATCTATCTCCTGCGATGGGTCAGTACCGGTAAGAATCTATACGTAGAGTTTCCACAAGAAATTTTGAATCATGTTGGCTTTTTTTTTGCATTTCCTTGTGCAGATACACCTTGAAAAGGTCTGAGATGGGTAGTAGATCAAGTTATGAGGTTGAGGCTCTCTCAAGTTAGCTGACTAAGGCAATATGGCCGGAGACATTTACCAACGTTCAACGCGTCTGGGATAACTGATAGATGGTACAAATTTTGTTTTTGATTTCCTAAATGGGTATCTATTTCCAATGTTTTTATGTTGTATATACATGTAATTGTTGGTGGTTATGCCGGGAAATGAGAATATGCCACATGCCAAGGATAAGCTACCTCGAACGCCAACTCGCTGTCATTAAATGCGTATTTGAAGACAAGAGAGTCTTTACCTGAATCCACACTTGTCTGTGGGTAAAGCCAATTATCGTGTTGTTTTTTACGTTTCAAGGAAAGATCCTAGTGCCCACAGGCCAATACAGCCAGCCAAAGCCGTGGCACCGACCACCTTCTTTGTCCACCAGTTGTCATCGGTCAAAGCTGTTGCGCCCCGAATGTGCTTGACAGGCTCGGTAGGCTGAGATGCCGGCACGCTGGTCGCATTGTTGTATTGGTTGAGTTCATCGGCCTCCTTTTGTCGGAGCATGGCAATGGTTCTACCCAGCTCCAGGAGCTCTTCCTCAAGCGCGCCATTCTCTTTCTGGTCCACCTCCACATTCTGGATGTTTCCGAAGAAATCGGTGATTAGTCGACTTCGGGCTACGTCAGCGCCACCGGGGAACAGGTCGTATCGCATTCCTGGGTTGGAGTGGATCTTGCTGATATCGTAGCTGTCGAACAGGTCGCCAACTGTTTTCTGGCTGCTGAGGTCCTTGACTTGGTTCTCAAGGAATTCCAGATTGTAGTAGGTGTAGCGATCGATGACGGCAACACCAACGTCGTTGTCGGCGTGGTGGGAGTAGGAGGATTGGTCGAGCTCCGATGAGCCAGTGGCAATAATATTGGGAGAGTATAGTCGGCTGAACATCGTGTTTGCTTGACAGGTGTCAATCATGAACAGAATTTCATGGTATCTAATGTGTGGAAAGTAGTTAGTTGGCAAAAAGAGCCCATCAAGTAATTTGATCGAGGAAACCTACCTCTTCTTCTCCCACATCTGCTGAAAAGCGTCTGCGAGATCCCAAGCACCAATTTCCTCGGCATCCTGGAACTTGAGGAACTCATTGCCTCCGTGACCCGTCATATAAATCAAGATGTTGCTTTTGTCATCGGTGAGAAGGCGCTTGCTTCTTGGCATCTCGTCGCCAACACGGTCGGTGAGCAGGCGGATAAAGTTCTCGACAGTAACCTCATAGCCACGATAGTCCACCTCGATGTTGTCTCCGTATAGGTCCATCGCACGGTTCGAGTTGCTATAGACGGTACCGGGGAAGGCATTGCGGGGGTTGCAAGCCATGTCATCGGGAAGCATGAGGATAATCTGGGAGTCGGGGATGCCAAGCCGCTTTACGGTGCGGTACATGGAGAGCACATTGGAAAGATGTCGGTAATTGAACCAGAAGCGCGATGTTCCTACTAGGACGGCCCAGTTGTTGGTATGTTCGGCGGAAGCGAGAGGCAGGAACAGTGATGTGGTTAGGACGGCTAGGAGGCGGATGGGTAACAACATGGCGATGGTGGAGGGGTTGCGCCCGGCCGCCTACAGGACGCAGAGGACGAGGACGATGGAAAAGAACGAAACTGTTCTGGCGGCAGAGGATTTTGGCTGTGCGCCTTAGATTAGTGGTGGTCGACCTGTATGGGGTTGAGCATGAGGATGGAAACGTTGAGGCGTAGCAATTGAAGGTAAGCAGTGGGCGAGATGACAAATCCTCCACACGCGTCGGTGCTGTGGTGTCTTTCGCTTGGCACTCACTGCATACCATCTCCCTTTCAAAAACACGTTCCAGTACAGCTACAGCTACAGAATCGGTGATGCCATCTTTCATCTATTATTTGTGAGTAATTGCTATACTCTGATTCTCTGTGCCTACCTATGACGAAGGTCTTCCTTAAACAGTTGGCCATGCACTAGGATGCCGTAGAGAATGGATCCCGCCTCGGAGCTCAGGGGCGACAGAGCCCCTGTCTTAGTAGTGGTTATATGGAGCCATTGGCGCTGGAGTGCGTTGTGCATGCTGTACATGATATTATACCATTAATAAATATCTGACCATGCCATTGATTCCATCGTACGTGTGGTCGGTGCAGAGGGATCATAGGCTTCGCCATCGGTTGGATCTATGTACCTATCAGGGGCCCTGCTCTCCACAAAAATGGGCATCTCACTGTCATGCAGCTTAATTGGCCCTTTGGTACGAACAATGAATACGAAAGACAAAACTAAGCTCTACTAGCGCAAGGCAGGAAAACGCTGTACATAGTAGACCTTCATACCGATGGTTTTTGCAAGCTTTATCTCCCTATTCGAGTGCTCCAAACTCCTAATATCCGGTTGCCTTGTATTTAGCTAGGGCCCCTCAAGATCATGTGAGAGATTAGTTCCCTACGATTGTTATTAGACTTTCTCCAATCTTGATGTGGCAGGCGACTGACATAGGACATGGCACACCCAGAACCTCCAGCGTTGAATTGCAACACAATATCAAAATAATTAACCTAGTAATACACACAATATGGAGCTAAATATTATAGAATAATTCATAATTAGCTTCTTATTATTATTAGTATTATTAATAAGAAAATGAGGTCCCTGACTTACATAAAAAAGAGCTTAGTGTGCAATGTTTTGTTCAAGTCGCCTGCGTGGTACAGGCCCATTACCCTACCTTAAGTAGCATTTCACTCCCTCCCATTTATAGAGTTTTCATGACTGGACTAAGCGAAAGGCTAAAACCCTCACTGCGTGCAGGAAATTATAAATACAACAATGGTTAGACCAAGGCTGATTATTCCTCTTTCGCTTCTATATTGCTAGGAAAAGACTTATCTATTGCAAAATGCGGATTCAAGAGTACGTCCCAAAATTTCATATTTCAATGTTTAAAGGATGCTAACATACGAATAGGGTATTTCATGAGGCGCCAGAAGACCCTGTCAATAAGAATAGTCAGGGTTCCCGCCCAAACGAGCCGAAAGACGAAGAGAAGAAAGCGTCAAGTACGGAGAAGGCCCCCTCGTACGACTCCCATCGACCGTATTGCCAGTCTGATAACATCACGCAAAAGTCAGACAGCAGGGACATGGACGTTCCTTTGATACCTAAAACTCATCAAATCAAAGTGTTTACTGTATCAGATCGGAACATACGGAATTGCTACCAAGCACAGAAATGGACCGCTTGTCTCACACTTGAGACATGTGATCTATCTCACCTGATGAAGGAGGGATTTTATTGGGATAAGTCGTCCATCGAACCTGAAAGCGGCTTCTTTCTACTAGACCAAAAGGATCTGCCAGCGGACGAATCTCGAGGTGGATGGAAGTGTGCTCGAGTCTATCAGTGCTCGAAGATGAGAGAGGGCATCATCCAGTGGAAAGGACAGCTTCGGATCTTAGCTCAGGAATTGAAAACCTTGGCTGAGTTCAACTTGGATATACTCACTGTGGATGCTATTCACATTATGAGGGTAAGAGACTCTGAGAATCGAGATGTCTACTGGTATTGCAGGTTGAGACCAGAGCAGAATTGCAATGCCTACTACGACCATATGCCCATGGAGGGTTATTGGCCCTGGCCGAAAAAGGATGAGATTCTTTAGCCAGGCAAATGGGCGTTAGACTTACAATACCATAGGGACTGCACAGGCAGTTCAGTCCTAACCTGCGATAATGGGAGGGCGCCATCCACCAGGACACCCAGGCGATCTTCTCGTGGTTTGTTTTCATTGTGGCTGTTATTTTCGCCGTGGGATTCATCGGATGGCTGCTCAAGAAAGTGAGAGAGCTATCAACACCAACAAGGTTATACCCGGCAATGACTCTTTCGTCGGCATGACTCCTTTCATTAATCTCAAGACATGATCATACCTTTCAACCGCTCAAATCCCGACCGTTCGCTGTGAACCGCGATGATGAAGTTGCTGAGCACTAGAGAAGTTGAGGAGTTGGCCTCAAGCTGGGACACGGAAGAGAAAGAGAGTAAAGTTTAACAACAATAAAGCTCCCAGGGCCCGGACAACTCAACACGCATTTACATGTAGCCACATACTATGCATGTTCAGTGTTCGGCTAGCTGGTTCAGTGGGTCCTGCCTTTTATTTGTCATCCAAGACGGCAGTACTTGCCAATGTGCCGTTGCAAGGACCTAGGAGGGAATCAAGCCATGGCATGGCAAATCCTTACCACATTGTATCTGTCCCCTTGAAGGATTATGCGCACAGTGTTTTTAAGCTCAATCCCGGCGATCGTGACCGTCTTCTTCTGCGGACTTTTATTATCCGATATCCTGCTCTGGGTTCTGGAGATTTCATGAATATAGCCGGAGCCGGAGCCGGAGCGTTGATCACATGCCAGAAAGGTCTCTCACTCTCAACGCGGAGCCTAGGCAGGGTTCCTCCCTCTAGCTAGTGGGTAAGTGAATGTAGCTTCTCCAGAACCATGCGCAACACTGCGACCTTGGCCAACGGCATGGCGTACCTTGTGACCGTGGAGATTTTCAGCCGGGCCAAACCGCAACCGACAATGGCGATGCGACAGCACCACACCACATCCAGCGGCACCGAGTACAGAAACCAGGCGTGTTGTACGTGTTGGCTGGCTGGCTGGCTGGCTGGCTGGCTGGCCGTGGTGGCTGAATCCAGGTCGCAAGGTTAAAAGCTTGTCGGCCTGCCATAGGCCAATTTTGTTGCCTGCCCCCTTTCACAGTCATGCTTCCCCAAGAGTTGAAGTTCCATTGCATGTCCCTCGTTTTCGGGACGGTGCTGCAAGCTGACGTGCAGGGAGGGGCCGCTATTCTGGTCTCTAATCCCCCCTAAATCAGTCAATGCATGAGACCAGGCAGCCATTCGGGAAGGCAGATCACCCACACCACCCGCGCTTCATACTGCTTGCTGTGTCTGTACTTTGCTCGCCGTCGGGTGCTTTATTAATCCCTGAGGTAGCCAGACTCCTCATCTCACCATTGGGGATGTGTCTGGCACTGGTCGGCTGATTTCGAAACCCCGCCTCCAGTTTTTCGCTTTTCCGATGAATTAGATCCCTGGCAGGGGCTTGTCCGTCCGTGTCCCCGACTTGCTTCGTGACGCAACTTAAATTAGCACCTGGACGTACCTAGTCCTTCCTAGACACTGGACCTTACCAAGCTCCCATAATAATCAAAACGCCGCCGGACCCCTCCCCTCGATGAACTAACTAGTCAGCCCACTTCGCGCGTCAGTCACTTTTTAATATATTGAGAATCTTCGCTAGCTTGTGACAGGCGACGCACCCAGTCCTCGTTGTCCAGCGCACTTTGCTTCTCCTGAATTGGGACATCTCACTCCCAACTTGCCAGCCCGGACTCGACAGCTGTAACTCGTTGGTTCCCAGCACGTCTTTGCCCTTTCTTTGCGAAAACAGCTGGCTCCCGGTGCCTGTACCTGCTCCTGTACCTAAACAAGGCTCCACGACCCACTAGCGCATCGCGAACCTCCCCCAGGTCTCACCTCACCTCTGTCTATGACCTTGGACTGCACATTAAGCCTGCGCTTTCCGAGGGGCCCTACTTGAAGGGCCATTGCCATCATGGCTGGGCTTCCCTCCCATATTTTTGTCGTCAGGTTCGTGAGACCTCCCCGGATGTTACCCAGGTCCTAACCATGACGTTGTTACTAACTGTTGCCTCCCGGTATTTAGACATGGAAACCGCCTAGACGCTGCCGACAAGAAATGGCATCTCTCTTCCCCGACCCCTTACGATCCTCCCCTCACATACAATGGCTTTCAGCAAGCCCGATCAGTTGGCAACCAGATTGCTTCTATACTAGAGCAGGCTAAACAAGACGCCGAATCGCCATCGGCAAACCCAACTGGCAGGCGGAAACGCTTTCGAGTGGTTATTCATAGCTCTCCATTCCTGAGATGTGTTCAGACGTCTGTTGGAATCAGCTCGGGCCTGGCCCAAACTGCCCCGGGTTCTACTTTCAGCCCACCCGAGCTCATCCTGCCCAGGGCACCTCCCCCTGGGAAAACCGATACCCCGTTTCGCTCGTCAATCCTTCGCCTCGATGCCTTTCTTGGCGAATGGCTGTCACCGGAATATTTTGAGAATATTACTCCGCCGCCGGGCTCGTCTCTCATGATTGGCAGTGCCAAGGCTGACCTCTTGAAGCGGGAAGATTATAGTATATACACCGAAACTCCGATTAACGACCCTCCCCCACAACCTAGGAAATCGTCGTTATGGAGCGCGTCCCCCATTCAAAATTCGGGGAGCGATGAGATGTTAGGAAGTTCCTCGCCTTCTAGGCCGGTGGATGATAAGAATACTTACAAGCCTCTGAGGCCAGCCTATGCAGTCTCCAACGCCGGTCCGATACCCCACGGTTTTGTAGCGCATGCTCGGGACGAGTGCGTATCTGTAGACTACCAATGGGACTCTTCGAGACCTCCCCTGGACTTTGGAGATGGCGGTATTCTTCCCGAGGAGTGGACGACTATGCATAGGCGCTTCCGGGGTGGCTTGAAGAGGATGATTAACTGGTATGCGACTGCCGAGGCCCCTGCCGAGTTGGTCTCGGTGCCAGTTCACTCGAGGACGAGCCCAAACAACGGCGTATCCTATGCGTCGAACGAGGATATCGAAACGGTTGTTATTATTGTCTCCCATGGCGCAGGCTGCAATGCTCTCATTGGAGCCATCACCCACCAGCCGGTTCTCATGGATGTGGGAATTGCTTCGATCACGATGGCTGCACGGAAGCCAGACTTGGACTATCCAAAGCTGCTTCAGGAAACACAGGCCCAGGACCACAAAGGGACACCTCTCGTTCACATTGACTACATGTATGACATTCGAATTTCCGCAAACACGGAGCACCTCCTTTCCTCCTCTTCAAATTCACCCCGGGTTGGGAGCATGAGTGGTGGCTGGAACAATAACGGCCGTGGTCGTACGTCAACTCTTGGGAGCACCCCTGGCCCGGCTCTTGGAAGCATCAACTTCAACGATTCGTTTTCTGGCGGGTTCGGCGCTGGCCACCGTAGCAGCTCGGCTAGCGCGACCTTTGGTGTGCTTAAAAGACGAGACTCGGGGTCGCAGCGACCTGGTGCTCGAGGCGCCTCCTTGGCATCAACTGGACTGTTCTCCGGTCCCGGAGCAAGCAGTGGAGCCAGCGGGCGACAGTCCCCTGGTGGGGGATTATGGAGACCGGCACCTGCTCCATCCTCGCTTCGGCTCATGGATGATGGGACCAATGACGCAAACCAGGATGACGACGATGATGGATTTCCCAACTTCGACCAGGTACGCCTCAATTCCAAGTTGGCTTCGTCTCCCCCGCAGGGCGAGCCCCGCGATGCATATGAAGCCATTGAGGAAGACGACGAGGCTACGTCCACCGGGCCAATCTTGGCAGCTCCCATCAAGCTGCAGACCAGCTGGGCCCTTGACCTAAAGCAAGAGAAGCATAAACCCATCGAGATGACCAAGTCTCCGCTGGGCGACGGGCTCGGGGATCTTTGGGGCCTGCCGCAGCCCCCAGAGGAGGCCGAGCGCCTTCGTGACCTGAGTTTCACCAAGCGGCGCTGGACGGTGAATGAAAAAGCAGTATGAATTTGATACGCAAGCAAGACTTGCATGGGCAGGCTGACGGGGCAAATTTCGTCGCATCGCGGCACGAAGCTGCATTTGAAATGTCCAGCCAATCTATTCTAACGACGCACTGAATCTTCGCATTTTTTACACATCAAAGTTATGGATGTAGCATCAGAGCACGGAAAGCGTATGTATTAAAAGGGAGATTGAAGCAGCCCCTGCATTAGAACGGCTGATTTAGCAGGAAAGGGACGGTTAAAACATCAGATACCCAGTTACGTTAACGGCGGGTATACCAGTCTATGAATGTATTCTTTTTATTTTATTTATTTATTTTTAATATCCTTTCGTCTTATGGCTCTATGACTGTCCTTCCATAAGAATCCCCAGCTCCTCGACTGGTCTTCCAGACACGGGTATGTTTACCCCGTTCCCTAGATGAACGTATGAAACATTGCCTTGTGTAAATACCTAGAACAAAGCTGATGACGGAGACCCTACTGCCGTAACTGCTACCAGTGAAGAAATGCCAAACCCAACCCAAACGATGTCCCATCCCGCTGAATTGGTCTATTTCTCCGAAAATTCTATCCCATTGTGCTTCCCTCTCCTTCTGCTGCGTAGTCTCATGAGTCTATGTGGGAGTCGTTGCCTCGTTCATGTAGTTTGTACATCACACCACACCACACCACACCACACCACGCCGCACCCTTCTCTCTATCTCTCTCTCGCGTTTCGACGCCTCAGCCTCACTTCTTGAGCTCCCCAAATGACTTGTTCATGAACTGGTGCGCCAGCTCCACGCCCAGGAAGGTGGCCGCGTTGGCGGGCACGGCCCTCGTCAGCGCAGGTCCGAAGCCGGGGAAGAAGGCCTTGAAGCCGCCCTTGCCGTACAGCTCGCGGATCACGCCGCCGATGCTCACGTTGCCCTCGGCCGTCTGTAGGCGAGACTTGACAGTGTCGACGGGGAAGACGGGGATCCACATGGCGACTCCCGCGGCGGCGCCCGCGCACGTCACGGCGGTCAGGCTCAGCTCGCCGGTGGGCTTGCCGGTGGCGGGGTCCTTGGGGCTGAGGCGGCGCTTGATGAACTCGTAGGCGGCGAAGTAGGCGGCCGAGCCTGGCCCGTCGCGGGCGAGGGTGGCGGCGCTGCCGCGGAAGACGCTGCGGATCCCGCCCTCGCGGTAGAGCTGGCGGACGACGTCGAGGCCGCCCGAGTACTTTGGCTTCTCGCCGGGGGCGAGCTGCTTCTGGTCCTGGACCTGGAGGATGACCTTGACGCGCTCAAAGGGGGCGGTGATGGCCGTCATGGGGATCGCGGAGAAGAAGCCAGCGGCGGATATTTGGCCGATGGTGAAGCCGTCGGGGCCGACGGTTGTGAGTCCGGAGACGATTTGCTTGCCTAGGTCGTAGCCCCAAAAGGAGACGGCGACTTGAAGGAGAGACGACAGAGTTAGTACAGGGCGCGCCAAGCAGAATAATGATTGCCAGAATATGAACCATTGAGGTGGGAGAGGCAGCGTGGGGTGAGTAGGAAGTGTACTTACACATGGGAGTGACACCGACGAGGGGTGCTGAGACACCGGCATATAGACCACGGCGCAGACCATCTCTTGCGACACTCTTCCTGACAACGTCCATAGCCGAGGAATATACCCCACGTTCGGCGGTCTGAAGGCGGACCTTGACAAGATCGAATGGGTGGCCGACAATGACGGAGCAGATACCACCAAAGGCGCCCGCGCCTAACGACCGAACCTGTGAAGCGAGAGCGTTCTTTGCATCTTCCTGGGATGGTGCGTGTGGGATCTTTTCAACGACCGCCTCAGCTGCCGGGCTTGCTGTTGTGCTAGTGGTCGACATGGTTGTGCGAGGAGGGGAATTAGATGTCGAAGGTCGAGGAGAAGAATGGAGGGGGGGCGGAAAGAAAAGGAGGCGAGGGCGAGGACGACTGTCTCGGTCAACTCCGGGTAAGACAGACCGTGACTGTAATATGCGGCGTGAGGGGTGGTAGGTTGTTGGACGAGAAAGAGGAGGGGTCTTCCGTGCTCCCGATGGAGGTGCTCTGGCTTCTGGACAAGGCACTGTTGTGAGTATGAGGGCGGTATATAGCCAATCGCAATCGCAAAACTTACCTGGGAAGAGAAGTAACGCGCGAGGGACGACTTAGGGAGGAAATTGAGCTTTCTCTAATTTCTAAGTTGATAGCGTAACGGAAGCCGTAATGACGGTATTCTAACTGGCCTGCTGCTGAAGTTTGGTAGGTCGATGGGATCGGACAGCAGTGGCAATCTGGAGGTAAGGAGGACGGAAATGATACACCAGGGTAGCGGCAGAGACAATGGTGATGATCCGACAGTTAGGATTTCGCGACGGTTAGTCTCGTGTCACAAACCTAGAGCCTCACACCCTTCCAGGGCAGGGTCAGATTGTTTATTAGGGTGTGGTGCGATGTGCGGACGGACGATCCATGCCTTGGGCCATGGGCCACCAGTGGTGTGTGCCTCGGCTTCGGCTCAGGGCAGTGACGTACCGTCGCGCTGGCCCGGGCTTGTCCTCAATCCTCGCGGCATTATTCTGGGGTTCTGTCCAGAACCCCAGGGCCCACCACCCACTAAGAGCACCCGAGCTTAAGGGCACCCGGGCGGTTTTGGGGAGCCCAGAGTCTGGAGCTCTTCGTGACCACCACCTGTGGGGTCCCACGGCAGCAGCTTCTGCAGTGAACCCCCAGGTACTTGCAGCCCCTGGAGAGATCATTGATCTAAGCGTTACACGTAGGTAGGTAGGTGCACCCCGTTTCCGCTCTTGAAGAATGCCAAGATTCTTTCGCCCAAGGAAACCAAAGTGCCATCACACCTCAACCATGTATTGTCCTCCTCCAAATTCGGGTCTTTTCTAGCCCCGATGACTGTACCACACGTCCTGAACGACAGCCGCCTGCCCCTCAAGAATCTGCCGGACTACCGGCCACTAGCCGTCCCATCTCCC